AACTTTGGATAATCATTTGTCACTGTTTTTATTTGGCAATTTAATCCAAGTTTCTTGGTTTTGTCTGCAAACCAGTCATAAAGGTCAATGTATTTTATTTCAACGTTGGCATGAATTGAGTTAGTGCTTCTTAGCTTGCAATTTTTTGCTTTTTTTGTCAGTTTTTTTGGAAAAATTAAGTCATTGACGGAATATTTCACGGGATACCACTAAAAAACATTGCATTTCTATCCCTCATTCGATAGACTAACAATTCGAACTTGCCTGATAATTTAACATTATTTCTTGATTTCCAGACATAAACGAGTGTCTCACAAGAAGTCACCCATGTGACGAGTCTAGTTCAGTGTGTCAGATGTGTTTGCAGGGATGGTTATTATAAAAGCGGACGACAAAAATGTACAGGTAACACTTCAAGATCCTCTAATTGATATGTCAAGTTAGCACGCTCACAATTTTCTATTTTCATTTATATTTTTGAAAGACGCAAGTCAACCGGAAGTAACTTTCATTCACCTTTTATACGCAGAAACGCCACAAAATTTATTGCCAGGCGCTTTACAGTGTCTTAACTCTTACAGTGGCGGGTTGCCCGAAAATCTGGGCGAAACTACGCCCAAGAATGAAAACAGACCATTAGCAGTTAGCAAGCGTCGCTAAAAAAAAAAAAAAGTTCAGTCGAACCCCCCTTAACAGACACCCGCTTAAAGGCCCATTACCAACATTGATGCATTGCGCGCCGCGAACACACATCCCAAGAATTTCGTGTTACATGAAATTACTGATAGTTGTGAAAGGTTTATTTTTGCAAAGATCTGCTATCTGTTCCAACGGTTCCGGCTATCTGTTCGAAAAAAATTGTCATCCGTTTCAATGATCACTCAGACTATCCGTTCCGGATCAAAATTAACATCAGTTCCAACGGCTGGGTCTATCCGTTGGACGAATTTGTCATCCCTTCGAAAAGCTCGGGCTATCCACTCGAAAATTATCAGCCGCACTACTGTTCCAAACCACTTTTACCCGAGCCGTTTTGCGAGGAACCTGTCCAAAAATGTAAGCTTTTTCGTCTTAGCGTTGTTTACTATCACCTCATGAATTTTCAGGGTAACTTTTTTGCTCTATAGTCTTCTTTGCATTCATAACATTCGATTATCGGTACACGTTTTATTCAAGAGTCCGTCCATTCGTAGCTTAACTATGATTTTTGGAGGTTGTGTTATTCACATTTTGACATCAAGATATTGCGATTATTGTTAAAAAAAAAAGGTCTCCTAAAACTTTCAGTATAAAGACAAAACGTCCCCTATAATTTTCTAATGAAAGCAAGGCTACTTCATGTCCTCGAACTTTCGACCGGACCAATGAGGGTAGCTAACACTTTCGGATGAGACGAAAAAGCCACCTAAAACTTTCGTGACGACCAAGGTTCCCCTAAGACATCCGAACAGGTAAATTGTTTTTAGTTTTTAACTCCAAATTAACCAAACAGGCTTCAAAGAGCATAGAGAAAACCATCTGAGAAATTTCTGGCGTATTTGGAGACATTTGGTCGTTGGGTGCCTTTGCCCTATGCTGTGTAGTTTATTTGGCGTCCGGACTTCTAATTCGTAGGCAGTCCGAGTTTAAGTTCTTCTTAGTTGACCATTCTCGAATTCAGTTCTAGATAGCTCCGAACTTCAGAATTTTTCCAACACGCCGCTTGCAAAAGTAGGCTTCTACTTGAATTGCAATTTTTCAAATTGTTATTGTCGATGTTAAAAAAAGTTGCCGTCCCACTGTCTGGTTTTTCTGACACTGGCCCAGTGAAAAGTGCCTTCGCTGTTTCATGAATTGCTCGAAGAGTTTGTTCAAGGGACTCTTCCGGTTGGCTGGCCTGAATATTGTCTTTATTTAGCAGTTTTATTCATTTATGCGGCGAATTTACAAATTCAACGCAAAAATTTATTGATTAGCTTCTCTTCTAAGCACCAATTTCAGACTTTCATTTCACAAGCTATAAATATCCTGTTTTAATAACGGTTTGCATTCAATTTGAAAACTGGTTTCAGCGTCGTTTCAGTAAACCAGCCGGAAAAAAAAACACGGATGAGGTTGGTTTGTTCACAATGCATATAAAGAGTTTTTGTCAGTCGCTCTTGAAAAGCCTGCTTAAAACACACAACTCACGAGCTATAAATATCGTGTTTTACCTACAAATTATGTTGTTTGACGTCGTTTTAGCTTTGTTTCAGAGAATGCCTGAAGCTCTTTACATTGAGCAGGGTGTGATTTATCCACAATTTTACACCTACTTTTAAAATTAATTAACCATTTATTATAATCGTCAGAGGAAAAAGCAGTTTAATTTACTATGCAGGGCTAATATAAAACATCATAAAGAGTATAACTAATCGTCAGTTCCAATCGATCAAGAAACTATTTGCTGATCAGTCTTTAATTTTTTCACTGAAATAGCATTATGCGAACAATGAAAGGGATATTTGGACATAATTGTGCGTGCGTCATAAGAAACATAAAGCAAAGCGAAACCGGAAAACAATTTTGAACGAAGGTAAAATGCTTCTATTTAGGAACAAATACACCTTTCTATTTTTATTTCGACCTGAATACTTAGTTCATGGTTTTTAAGTTGGACAAATTAACTGTTCTTTGAGCATTCTGTAAAAATAATACCACGGAAAGGAAAATTGAACTTGATCTTGAAGCCCCATTATAAAGCTATTCTAAACTTCTCATATTACGCTAATTATTAAACACTGAATCATTGGATAATGCAATTCTAGAGCTCTGATTGGCTTAGAGCCGAGTTGGCCATCTCATATCCAACGCGCTCTCCTGGAATAATTGTTAATTAACACTATTTACACCGACCTCTTTACCTTTTGGCATCTAAGTACTCATAGAAAAAGACTCAAAGGAAGACATAAAGAACTTAGTAATTATAATATGGCTATTAAATCGAACACCACGACTTCACAAAGTGTGCCGGAAACTGATAAGAATATCTCTATTTCGTGAGTCCAATAGCTAGTTTTCTAAAGGTTATCGAGAACGAAGTCTAGCCTTTTAAAAATCAAAACGTTGTTGTTTTCTGGACGTTTTACAGTAGTCGTGTGACGTGGTGTGACGCGCTTGAACTTTTTTTGCTCCTTTCATTTTCAAATCTATGATGACGACGTCAAAGTTAATCTTGCAGAAACTCTTAGAACGGTCATTATGAAAAGCCCCTATTTCCTGGATTTGTCCGTTACAGTTGAATATGCTACTTCCTTTTGTGGAAAAAGAAAATAATTTAGAACAACAATCATATGTGATAATTTTTTTTCTTAACACTTGTCTATTTGTGAGCACTCACTACTGAACTCATTAACTTTCATTGCCCTTTGGGTTACTACGTTAACTCCGGCCTTTATTTCTTATGGAAACTGAATTAACGCAAAACAAAACTTGTCGATATTCCCCTGAGACTTTTATAAGCTAGGCATTCTTTGTGAAAAGTATACATGCCGTAACAGATCTCCAAAACTCGGTCAGTGATAACATATGTATATTCGGAGTTTTACAAATTTAGTGAAAAGGCCTTTTCTCGTATGCCTATTGTTCCGAAAGCTTTGTGATTCAAATCCGCTTTAACTGTATGATGTAATCGGGGGGGTTCCCAGCCGGGTTCTCAGCAAAGAATATAAAATTCGGTGAGCCTTTTAGATCGTTTCAGTAGGATTCAACTGATCTTCTGTGCATGGTCTACAATCTCTGTGGTAAAATGATCTATAGCAAATACGGAGGTCTGATTTTTTTTGGTGAGTATAAAAACAGTTAACCATGAAAATGTGCTTTTAACAAAAACACTGATTGCGGTAGCGCACTATGCCTAGAGGTTTATAAAGAACGTGCCTTATTTATAGAAACTTACAAAATGTAATTTTCGGTCACATTCAGCAGTTCTACTTAAACTAAAACTAGACGTAGTTACTTTATAAGTGATCATTTGCTGAAAAACGTACAGATAATCAGAGATAATTTGGCAATACTTCAAATTACTTTAATTTAGTAATTTTTAACTCAATCATCAATCATTTTATCCCTAGCTGTATATTTCACCGACAACATTATTAACTGAGTTACATCTGTCCGATTCTTGCAATCCAGCCGGTTAAGTAGTACAAGAAGAAAATGCCCCTTAAATTTTCCATGTTTGCAACTTTCATAAAACTACACTTGTCTTTGTTAGAACTTTAAAGAATTTTCCCAGTGACTAATCACTTTAAACAGAATTGATGAGCAAGCACTTGATATGGTCATTGAAACTTGTTCGAAGCCGGTCGTAGATATTGCTGTTCCACTGAATTTTCCTGTTTGGTAGAAAACAGTGTAATTAACATAACCACTTCTGAGTAGCGAAAAATATCATCTAAATTTGAGCTATCTTTGCGACCCTTTTATCGGAGTTACAAAATGGCCACTCAGTTTAATTCTGATGGATCACATTTATGCCCTGAAATCCGGCCGAGAAATGTTTTTAAAAATGACACAAAAAGAAAGAAAAATTATTGTTCTGATGTAAGCACACATGATGTTATAGTCTAAATATATGCCATTAAATTATATAATTATTCTTGAGAGAACTCAGCAGTTTCCTCTGTATTTAGACTGCAGTTCAAAGCAACATAGATGACATGCAAGGAAGAAAAAGAAATAAAGCTAAAAAGAGCCGGGGAAATGTTTACAGTTATAATAGCCAGTTTATTTGTGGTAATCAAACAGCTAAGAATTTAATGCTACAAAGGCGCTACAAAGCTTAAAGTTTCCATTACCATCCAGACTCTCGTAAGGAGCAAACTACATCCATCTATCAGGCATCTACAAGAAATTTTATCAAACTTCTTGAATATTAGGACAATGGAGAAACAGTTAGTGTCCTTGTCAAGCTTACTCTAAAGCTGAACGAAAAGGGACTTAGAGAGCCAAGTGAAACATACTTTAATCTCTCCTCAACAGTATTTTGTTCGAGCGTGGGGATAGCTGCCTCGTGTTCAATAGAGACATTACAAGAGAAAGCAAAGACTTGCGTGAATGGATTTTTCGACAACCTCAAGAAGGATCGACACCAAGACTGCAGGTACGAAAAAATATGGTGGCTCCTATTTCATGCGAGCGTGAATTCTGTATAGGGGTTATAGTTATATGCTGTTTATCTGGTGTGGCTAAGCCGTACGGCGAGTAAGAATTGAAAGTTATCTTTAAGCCTTAAATTAGAAGCGAACAAGACAAGTCAAGTAACTATTCGCAAATTACGAAATTATAGTTATATGCTGTTTATCTGGTGTGGCTAAGCCGTACGGCGAGTAAGAATTGAAAGTTATCTTTAAGCCTTAAATTAGAAGCGAACAAGACAAGTCAAGTAACTATTCGCAAATTACGAAAATGGGTTGGTTAATATAATTTGTTTTGTTTTTAGTTTTTCTTATCTCGAAAAAATGATTTAAACATAAGGGAAGATGATCTATTCTCCGAATGATGATGATGATGGTTGTGTTGGTGCTACGTATTAACAAACAATTGCGCTCTAATGAATTTTTGAAATACATCAAATTTTCTTCTATTTTTGTTTTCCTTTTTTCATTAGGAAACTTTTCACCTCCAAAGTAAAGCACTGCATCATAAAGGTCATCGATAGCTGTCGAAATCGAACAGATGGCAAAACTGTAAGCTCTAAAAACTTGATCTCTAGCTGGCAGTATTATTGCAAAGATGGAATGCTTTACTCCTTTAAAGGCTACAAAAAGCTGCAGAACTGTCCGGACACAACGCTAGAAAAAATAGGGAAGTGCGCAAGTTCATTCTACAAGAAATTCAAAGAGAACAAGGGAAGCCGGTCTTTGTGCAGGTTAGAATATTGTACGTGATTTTCACTGCATTATCATTTTCTTCGCTCAGCGAGTGTTCTTGCATACGCTCTACAATTAAAGTGCACTTTTAGGCAAAATTAATTTTCTCCCAATCCGTTTTTGTTTCAGAAAATTCACCAAGGCTAAGAAATGCATTAGAACGACCCTAGAAAGGAACTGCGACAAGAACTCTTGGGAAAAGAATGCCGCGAAGCGGTACCAAGACCCTCACAACCCTTATTGCCCCGGATGGGTGGATTTGAAAAGAAAACCAGGTTTGTATAGTACTTCGTGATGTACGTGGTGAATTATTAATAATAATAATAATAATAATAATAATAATAATAATAATAGTGATGATGAGGATGATAATGATGTTGATGCTGATGATGAATAATGAGGCCTTGGGACTAGGCAAAGATATTTTTATCTTTATTTTAATCTAATTTCTACACTTTTTCTTTACAGTGCCAAGGAGTCCTGGAAGACGGTTCGGATCATGCTCAGAAAGTGAATATCTGTCTTTAACAAGAGTCTGCATTGCGAGTTTCGTGCAAACTCTCCAAAAAAATCCCAAAACATCTTGCAGGTTCGTAAGTGTAGTTTGCATCCTCAGTATATTTTTATCGATAAATAACGACGACTGGCCGCAAAGCACGAGATGAAATGCCACACCATTTACGTTAAACATGTTTTTGCTGCAAAAGGCACGATTTATTATGTAGCCGTAGCAACGGTGATACGGATGAACATGCAAAACTTGGGTAGTTCAATATACATTTTCTGGCGTTTTTCCTTTCAGACGGGTATACATGGACAAGATAAACAAATGCGCGAAGAACTTGGCTCTTCACTGCCATAAAAATGAATCCAAATACGATAGAAGAAACGTGGAGCGATCCTTCAATAGCAGAAGCTTTCGAGCCTACCAAGAACAAGTTTATTGCAATGGCATGAACTTACAGGTTCCCCTTCCACCTTCTTTGAGACGACATCAGTGCTCGAAGAACTTTCTGGCAGAAAAGGGGAGATGCGAAGACAACTATGTTAAGACTTACAGAGAGAACAAAGCGGACAAGACTCTTTGTAGGTATGTAAGTTTTGTAGCTTAAATGGAATTAAGGCTAAACGTAAGTATTCGGTTTCTCAAATATGCTCTCGCATGGGAAACAGGTAACGCCTCTACACGCCTAGCCTATGTGTGCAGAGTTAATAAAACCCCACCTAGTAATGTCTGCCAAACAGCGCCGATATCCTTGTTCTGGGCCTCTAGAGGACTCATGTCGACAATTTTACCGCAAATGAGTTTCGAATTTCCCTTCAAGCTGACTGGCAGATTGACGATTTTTTTTTTCTGTAACAGGCCAATCATGGCGCTTGCTCAAATCCTGGTACCTAGATGGGGCCCACAATTTCGGCACTGTTTCGCAGATGGACTAAATCAGAAGTTTAGTGGCTATTCCATGACGTGCAAAGAATTATTATTTATTCTCTCTCTTTCTTTCTCCTTTTTTTTATTTTCAGGAAGTACGCAGAAGCAAAGGCCTGTGTCAAGAATGCCACACTTACCCTGTGCAAGAAGATGACAGGAGAACAAGTTGAAGTTGTAAACTTCTATTGCGACACGTTTAACCCATTTTGTTTCAACCTCTCAGACCCACCGATGGTTAAACGGTCGCTGGTGCCTATGCATCGCGTCTCACGGGAGTCAGATCCCCAGCTCCCCACGATTACACCCACTCAAAGTGTAAAAGGAATCGGTGAAGTGAAATCTCGGGGAGGGGGTCAGTCAACTAGCCTCGCAAGTTATCGTTTTGTCGTAATTTCATCTGTTGTAGCTTTGATTCGTACTGTTTCATGAAAAGAGCACTTAGTTTAGGTTCATCATCCAGGATATACAATGCCAGGAGTGACTGGGCTCTCCCTGTTTACTTGGGTGGTTGACTTCTCTTGTTGACCTCTTGTGCCCAGGCCCTTGGAATTTCCTTGGGGGCAGCGCCCAGTATGGCTTTGTTCTCTGCAAAACTGATGAGCTCAGTTTTGTCAGTCCACCTTCAGTCTGCGCTACTCCCCTCGAAATATTAACTTAAGTGAAGGCAAATGCACTAGATGCTCTACAACTGTCAGCAACGACCTTTTCTCAGTGTTCAACAAAGTTCGATCATTCAATTCTAAGGGCAAAGACTATACACAGTTGCTTTTCCGGTTTGCGAATTGTCTATTCGATCTCTGATCAAGGTCATTTGCTTCTTGGCTTGGCATCTATGGATCAGCCACGGTGCAAATTTGCCTTTACCAATGTGATGGAGTTGCAAACTAAACACTATCCACTCACGAAATAGCAAATTATATTATGCCAGAGGTAAAATTACAAATCCTTTTTTAATATATAGTTAGTTTAAAAGAGTGTAAAATGCTTGGAGAATGTGTTATAGTATTATATGATCAAGGGAATAAACTACAAATAGTGCTTAAATTATTTTTTTTAGCAATACTTAATTATACGTTTTGGTCAGTTACTCAGTTATCTCTATCCTCAAAATTTGTTAATTAAAGGAAATGAAACGCACTACTCCTTGATGTATTCTGTATGATAACAAATTAGTTGTCCCGTTCTCCGCGGGCTAACTTCATGAAAAATAGCTTCAGTTATAGAAGAGCTGTTGCAAGGAACAGCTCGCCCTGTATAATGAAAGACACTCTTAGTCTCTTAGTCTATTTAAAAGATTCATTAGTCTTAATTTTTAATTAATATTAATTGCTCAGGGCATTCATAAAATAGAAGGTTTAGCTGGAATAGTTGTAGTTAGTTTTGCATTTTGTTTGCTTAGTTAGGTTATTTATAATATCTATACTCCTAATGAATTTTAACGTTTTTAAATAAAAAACTTTATTCTATTCTGTTATTGTATTCTACCAGTTAAAAAAAAGAAATTGGATACAATTTCGGTACCGTTGTGTTACTTGTAACTTACGGAATACTAATTAAGAGTGCACCATATTTCGCTGGTTTAAAATTCACGCTAAGGGCAGAATTATACAACTACGAATAGTACTGCGATATTCATGATGACGTTGATGACGATCAGATGGAAGATGACAATAAATAATTGTAATTAGCGATCCAGAGTGACCGGGTGAAAATTATTTGCTGCGTCAGAACTATTCGTGGTCTTCCGCGGTATAGAAACTTTAATTTGTGATAGCCCTTTTCAAAAAAGAAAGAAAGAAAGAAAAATACCATAAACCTCTGAAATGTGCTAGGCACCGCTCACTCCTCCCCCCCCCACGGGGAGGAGGAGGGGGCACATAATCATTTCAGACACCTGGAGTGAGTACATAGCCTCGACCGGATAAAGGCCAGACAAATCGACAAATTATGCCTCCTAATTCAAGCCTGAACTAGATGTTGCCTGTACAACAACAACAACTTTATTCTAATCTTCCCGTCCAGTTATACAAAAAAGGACAGTGCTTTTAATAAAGCCCGTAAACGGCAGTTAAAAGAATATTATGGTATTTTTTGCAGTGGTCTGATCTATTTGTTTATAAAATAACTAAGATAGTACGCGCTTTGATTGGCCGAGATGCGTGTTTGTATTAGAGTATGTAATCATGGTTGTGACGTCAAGATGTTTTGCTTTTCGCGCGCTAATCACGCGAGTACAAATTTGATTTGAGTTGAAAACTCGACAAGTTTACTTTATTTACACATTCCCTCGACAGTTATGCAAACCCGAGACGAAGTCGAGGGTTTACATAACTGACGCGAATTCTCCCAACCCTTCTCGTGTTTATATCAAGCTATGTAAACACGGAAAAAAGTAATCACGTGGCTCGAATCGCAGATTAATACTTAGTTGAGACCTTTGAGGACTTGCTTCTTTAGTACTCATTTCATTTACTCCAATGTAATAGTACAGGAACCAGAATGGAGCGTAGGTGCCGATTTGCTACGCAGGCCGCAGCCTCACAGAGTGTGAACGCAAGTACTCTCAGACCGGAAGAGAAGCCCTTGCTCTTGGATGCTTACCCTTTCGCAACAACCAAGCAGTACCTATAAAAGACAGTAAGATACAAGACAAAAAAGTACTTAGAATAGTCTTTCAAAAGCGCTAGAAACTGTTCTTTGATTTCTTTTAGAAGAAAAGATCAGAAAAACGCGTAAAACGACTCCCGTTATTCTCATCCCGCGCTTCTCAATGCCTCCCGGGAAATATCACATGGGCGAGGCTACATAGCCTAGGTGATTTCAATTTCAACATCGGAAGATCGTAGAATCGTTGAGTGGGTTTTATTATCTTGTGGCCGATTCTTAAGAAATTTACCCGGAACTGCTTTCAGCTACCTTTGTGATTTAAAAAGGAGGATAAGACGTTTCCAATGAATCAGTCTTCGTCCTCCTCTTCGCCCATTTCATTGTCAAATTCAAGAGACGACGGGCCTTCGTCTCCTATGACAGACATGGCCTCCACCGACCGGAATTGTCGACTTAATGACAATTTCGGGCTTATAGTTCAGGGGATTTTAGCTGCTGTCGCTTTCAGTACCCTTATTTGTGAGTAAGATTTTAATAATTTAGATAATATTCGATTTTTGCTCCATATTCATCATTCGCGGACGCAAACTTGTTTTTTCCGAGCATCTCAACCATCCGTCTTGAACGAAACCAAACTGAACCGCCGCATTTGATCTGACAGGAAAGCTGAATATTTTGCGTTTGTCCCGTTTAAAGCAACTTTTCCTCTGAATATTTTTAAGTAGCAATTTATTTTATTCCCTATTTGATTAGGTTTGGTTTTCACTGGTGGGCCCAAGATTTGCGCGTAATTAAATTTCTTTCTTACATAATATTATTTCCATTTCAGCTCAAATGTTCGTATGTAGAATTTCACATTAGAATGTTTACTGCTCCATACGTGAACACCTGTCTCCTGCCCAACAATAATCGTATTAGTTGATGTTTACAGAAGAAAGTATTTCGCAAATGGCACTGTGATTAGAACCAAAATTTGCTTTTTTGGTTAGGATGCTTACACGCAAATGGCTTTCCTATTAGCAAATTTTGCTCTTTAGCTAAATTGATATGTGTGTGATTTACTACTTTTATCTGCACATCTGTAAACTTTCTGATAATTTTTGTTTGGCAGTATTCAGTTTGTCTTAAACTGTCAACGAGCCAAATTCTCTAAAACCTTGAGAAAAAAAAAAGAAATTGTGTGGTAGACTTAGAATGACGGGTTTAGATAGTCATATGTTTTATACAAAATCTTTACATGTATTTACGTACTTATGCTCTGTCTGCAAAATATACCACAGAAGGTGCTGTCTTTTGGGTAAGGTTTGCCTTTTGTATTTTCTGACGCAATAGAGAATGTTTGGGTACCCATTTTTCCTTCAGTTCTAAATCCAGAAGGTCTCCAAGTACCGTATGAGGAAAAATTATAGTCGCCAGTTTGGCAACTCATGTTAAGGAGTTGGTTGTCAAAGCCCAATAGTTTCGCTATTGGCACCTGCATTTTGCACAACTTCTGTCTCAATTTTTCTTCTTTATTTTACCTCTAACCTAACCTGTATAAAGTAGACAGCTAGGAGGCCCATGGATTTGGATTAGTACAACGTCCACCCACCCCTCCCCTGACCCAACAAGACTGGATAGTGGAAGTCAGTGTTGATATTGGGTTAGGGGAGGGGTAGATGGGGAGTCTCCAAGATTGTTGCACTGATCCACCTTGCCAAGGATATGCAAAGCAAGAGTTTCTGTTTAACCCCTTTTTTCCTGGTCCAAGGTGTGGCCAGCTTGTGCCACAAATGGACCTAAACGTCTGGTTCATCTGTAAAACAGTGCTGAAATCCTGGTTGTGGGTCCCCACCTGTGTACCAGGATTTGAGTACGTGCCATGATTGGCCTGTTAAAAAGCCATTGTCAATTTGCCAATCGGATTGAAGGATTGATTTCATCTCTGCTTTACAGACGTTGCTGAGGTTAGATTGAGTCTGTAATGCAGGCCAAGTTGTGGCAAGATTTCTTGACACACTAACTTTTAATCTTTGGTCAAAATCCAGTGATTTTACCATTCAGATGGAACCTCCCTGGCTGAATTTTTGCACTGTACCATTTATTTCGTAGTATTTTACGAAAAAAATGTCAATTTTTTTGGTCATTTATTCTTATTTTTTGCAACTGTTAGGAGTGAGATTTCCTGATGCTTTAAAGCAGACTGTGTGCGTCTGCTTACTTATTTCTGCATTTTCTTTTTATGTAAAATTTGCAGTAAAACGACTGAGAGAACCTGATTCAGACAGAAGGCCTGTCCTTATTTGGTAAGTTATTCACAGTAATTTTTCAGATACAAGCTGTTTAAACAGAATAAAATTATATTGATATATATGTAACACAATCATAAACCTGTGTCATCATTCTTGTATATATTTTGGGGTTCAATTTTATTTTTGGTTCAAACTTTAGTTTCTTTGATTTTTAGTTAGGTTATGTATGATATTAATAGATTTGAAGCAAGGAAACTGAAATTTAAACCAAGGATGATATATAGAGTACAGGACTGTCACCAAGAGCTAGGAGCCAGGGGTATTTCCTGCAATTTTTTACTCCTTTTCTCACACGTCTTGTTTCTCTTGCTGAACTCAATATAAAGGAAATGGAAATGACTGCTACGCAAGCTACCCCAGCTATTATAAACAGAGGGAAAACAGAAGCAAAAGAAATTCCCAACTGTTCAATTCCCCACCTTTGAATATTACGTTTACCAAGACTCTTAAAATCTCAGTGACAGCCAGGACAGTGTATTAATTTTTGTTCAGTCTGAAGTCAACTTAGAGGTACACTGTGTGCTGTCTGTGTACATTTTCAGTACTTTAAGAATGGCTTGTCATATCTGCAAACTTGTTTTTGCAGGTTTTTTGACACATCAAAACAGGCAGTTGGTGCAATGTTAGTTCATTTTGCAAACATCTTTTTGGCTGGTCTTTTTAAAGGTGATCCATGTACTTGGTAGGTTGATTTCTCTTTTTGTGTTCATTATTTATCGGTGAAGATCAGATTTACATGTGTACGTAGTGAAAATTTATAATAATTTCTCACTCCACCCTGTTCGTAATCCCTGAAGATGCATGTGTACTTTGTGAAAATTTCTGTAAATTTCCCACTTTACTACCCTGTTGTTGTTTTTGTGATCTTAAGTCAAGGACAAATGAAGAAATAATAATGATGATATTCAGATCTTGTCCGTACAAGAAGTGACTCTCTATCCGCAACATTATTGATCGAACCATCACCAGCTCAATCCACTTACATGTATGAGATCCACTTTGGGATATAAATGCAGGCAACATTGGTGGAAGGTCAATGCTGTTGCTGCTTCTCTGATTTTATTACTTTTATTTTTATTTTGTAGGTACTTGATAAATTTTCTTTTGGATTCCACTCTTGGTTTGGTTGTCATATACCTTTGCCTTCAGTTCATGCAAGTGGTTGTCAGAATGTATGACTGGGACTCACTAAGATTTGGAGAGTACGGTAAGCTAGAACTGTACGTTAATACAGTAGTGCAGCTAGAAGTAAGTAGTTTGCATACAAGAGGTGTGAGCAGCTTGTGTTCAGTTGCTTGAGAAGGGGTGGTGTAATGATTAATCGCTTATTACCGTTTGGTTCGATTCACGATTCTTTGCTTCCACGCTTCGATTTTGCTTCGATTTTTGCATACCTTTTGAGAATTTCCAAATAAGGCAAACCTTCTTTGTCAGGATCTCAAACATGGCGACAAACCAAGGGACTGTGAATCCTCCTGTCCCTGTTACTATTCTGAAATTGAGGGTTTAGGGTTGCATGTTGTTAACATTACACGTTATGTTATAGCAATTGTTTAATGTTATTAAGAAACATTTACATAATCAAATCGAAATAATCAAAATCGAATTGAATCGCAAGGAATATGAGTCGTTACACCCCTATTGAGAAGGAAGATCTGCAGTTATTTTTCTTGAGTACCGCCTGATACCAAACACTGCAACACTTATATGTCCAATGTAATTCAAGGCACGTTTACACTACAGAAATAATGGTTTTGGACAATGTAGCATAATGTTTGAAACTGAAGGTCAAAAGTTTTGAAGCTATTGTTGTGTTTCTTTGCCAGGGAACCCTCCGCAGTGCAGGGCGTGGATGGGCCAGTGCATCTTATACCTTTGTGCTGTCATTGTTGAGAAAGCAACCATCACATTAGTAGTACAGCTTGATTTTTGGGAGGAGGTTCGCAAGTTTATCCTTCTACCCGTCAAGAACCATCCCAAAATTGAGTTAGCCATTGTCATGCTGATAATACCTTTTGTTTTTAATGTAAGTGGAATCTTCAAGAAAATTATTGCATACACAGACACTTTGTGGCGATGAAGTACCCTTCAATGCCTGAACAATTAGCATACATACTGTATTTAACTAGTTGATTTAACACCATGGTGTTAAATAATTTTTTAGCATTTCTGATGCGGTTATTGGAGGGCTGTGTTTTTTATTAAAAACACATTGCTTAAATCACTGACATCATCTTTAAGAAAATGTTATGTAAAACTGAAAGATGTTTAATGTTCTGATGTTTCGCTTATTTGAGCACTTTAGAATAATGGATTATTGTATTTATTATTATTTTTTGTAATTGTCTCGATTGTGGATATAACAAAGCTTTACCCAAATTTTTTTCATGATCCTCGAATAACAGAATATACATTTTGTAAAAAAGTTGGAGAAGTATGCTTTATTTATCTTCAGTAAATAAAAATATTCCAGCAGAACTTGGGGATTTTTGGCATGGTGTACAATAATGGCCTCTAAATCACAAGCTGTTCAATAGGTCAAAACTAAGGAAAACTACTTTTAATAAACTTCTTATTGCCTTGAAATCACCTCTGACTGTTGTTTTACTCTTCCTTGCAGGCCATTATGTTTTGGGTTGTGGACAACTTCCTCATGCAGAAGAAGAAAAAATTATTTCAGAAAGACACCACAAGAAACAGAGGAAACAAAGTGAAATATGAAAGGCGAACAGTAATGAATGGTTCAGATGAAGAAGCTGTGCTTTTAGAAAACTTAGCTGAGGGAGAAGCTATCACAGTTCCAGAGGACAATGTTTATCTCAGAGATACAGTAAGAAGATGATATCAGGCAAGACACCTGGAAGCCTAGCTGATCTTCTCTTTTGCTCCTCTGAGTAAGGAGTAGATAATCAGTCACTGCATGTGGTGATATACACCAGGCCCTGGTTGTTCAAATGTTGGATAGTGTTATGCGCTGGATAAATTGCTGTCCAGTGGATAAGTACATATATTAGGGAAACTGATTATCTTGTCTCCTGGATAATGATTTATCCAGTGGATAGTGTTATTCACCTTTTGAACAGCTGGGGCCGGATCTAAAAATAACAGTTCCAGACAGACTATTATTTTTAAGGTGAATATGATCTCCCTTGAGCACATGTCTATTTTCTTATTGAGGAAATGATAGCCTGTGAACAGGCTCTCTGTTTGGGGAAAGGGTGAAAAAATTGCTAGGAGAGGGGAAAACACCCTTTCCCACCCCTCTCCTCGCAATTTTTTCACCCTTTCCCCAAACAGACAGCCTGTTTACAGGCTAAGGAAATGATGTTTCAGAGAATTCGTGGAGGTATTCAAGATATCAACTAATCTAACATGTATTTTGCATGATTCTTGTTGAAGAAGCATTGTGTTCTTAGTTGACTGAGTCTGGACATGGTTCTGTTTATCCTACAAAAATGGTGAATTAGTTTGGACATGTGAAGAAAATATTATTTCCAGTAATATTAATTTTGCAGTTGTGTATGCCTGTACAAAATACTACATACATTTCTTAGTGCCAGGGTGCCACTGGGCTTATGCCAGATCTGGGCTTGGCATCAAGAATCCATTCTCTATCCAATAGGAGGAGGGGAGTACTTAACCTTATGAGCCTGAAGAGTAGACTGGGAGCAGTCTCTTATTTTTCTTTTGAGTCAGGGAGATCGAGAGCATGTGTGAAGGGCAAGTGGCAAAGCCGCTCCAATTTCTCCTCCTTTTTACCATTAATTTGCATAGTTTCACTTTTTCGCTCACCGCATGGCAATGAGGAAAGAAGGACAAGTGCTCGGGGTCTACCTAAAGAATGACCAACATCAATTTTCATGCTCAACAAAATAGATATAATTATTATCAAGGGAAAAGTTCATGAGAATTAGCAAAATGATCAGCAAAGAGAATATAAACGCTTTGATCTTTTTGCCATTTCTTCTTACTAATTCCCTCAAGAAATGTTTGGAGATCAGTGTGGAGAATTTGTATGTAGATATTGAAGTTTAATGGGAGAAGAGTAAAAAGAAAAAGAAAAAGAAAAACAATTTTATCAGGGGTGGGAGTTCCTCTGTTTTCCTAGTCAGGCCAACCTTAACAGTCTCAAAACTTGAATAGTGAAATGATGCTGTCTTCTCATATTTTCAGCTCTAATGAGTTGCAATGATTGGCATTTATTCTCTTGTTTATATTAATATTATTTTAACTTCCATCTCTTTGCCAATGGGCCATTTCAGATGTTTTTTTTTCCTTTTAAAATATGGCCAAGTTCAGAACACTTTTTTTCTTGTGAAAATGAATTTTGTTATTTGGTGTGAAAATCTTTGCACTTAGCCTTGTCTTAAAACAGTCTTTTGACAACTCAAAAGAAGCCGATTCATGTGGACCTTTTATCCAATCAATCAAATTAAAAACAGAGTTTTTCTTTGATGCTATAGCTGATGTTATAGATGAGGTTCTTGAGGTTGAATCTTTTACTTATGACTCGAAAAGTCGAAAGCTAGGCAATAATGTAACTTTCTTATTGCTGTGCCTTCAAAAAGATTATCCTGCGAGTCAAAAAACATATAGAATTGCAATGAGCGATCATTATTTATATTTATTTTAGTTATATTTTTTATTTTTTTGTGTGTCAATTAGTGATGTCAACAATTTACACATTGGCCATTTTTTTGCGTAGCTATTAAAATGATACAGTTATGTAGTGATTTGTATAGAGAATATAAATATATGAATATATGTCAAACTCGTTGGAAGTTATGGCTCATAATAATTATTATTATTATCATGGAGTTTAACCCTTTCATTCTCAGAAGCAGCCAAAGTCGAATTTTAACAAGTTTCTAAAATACTGTACCTGAGACCAAAAGTAGAATGTGAAAGCACTGCAAAAGAGATTTCATTCGAATGGTAACACCATAGGATTTCATCCACGAGACTCACAAGTTAGAACTTCATACTGAATAAATAGTACCATTTGAAAGTACTGTTAGGGAGGTTTCATTTGAATGGTTACACCATAGGATTTCATCCACAGACTCCAAGGTTAGAACTACATACTAAATAAATAGTACCATGTGAAAGTACTGCTGAAGAGGTTTCATTAGAATGGTAACACCATAGGATTTCATCCACAGACTCGAAAGTTAGAACTACAAGCAAGATAAACAGTATTAACCATTTGAAACTACTGCTGAAGACGTTTCATTAGAATGGTTACACCATAGGATTTCATTATTCTCTTTGCGAGTGGAAGGGTTAAGTGAAAGCAGATTTCTTTGAAACGATACGGGTATAATGAAACCGGTCGTTTCGATACAAAGTAGAAGTAGAAGACTGAGATCGAGGGGTATTGATTATTTTGCACATGTTTACATAACATTTAATATTCATGAAGTGTCTTCACTCTCTTAGAGATCACCACTGAGCTATGTGAGTGCAGGCACAAACCATTGCTATGTGGGTTTTCAGAGTGTGTTTGAGACTATGTAGAGCCAGGGAAACCTTGTTTGCTGATAACGCTATGACGAATATATAGAAGGTGTTATGAAAAGGATGAGCCTTAAGAATAATCAGTCACAATTCCAAACTCAACTTTTGTTCGTTTACTGTTTAAAAGACATGTGAAAGTGCTGTAGCATCCATAACTAGTAAACTGGTGACTTGATGACAATCGTTCTCGCAATTGCTCCTGGCCTAAGACTATTCAGATTTCTGTTAGACAGGATTTAACTTTTTTATTACTTGATTATTACCTGACAATTGTCAGACAATGTTCTGTAACACAAACTTATTTCTCTTTTCGTTGATCCACTGTACTGTTCCGAGTTACATTGTAAAGAAATTTATAATAAAGAACCTTTGTTATAAATTTGCGTACTTACTTCGCGCGTGATCGAGTGGTTCCTTATTTATTCGAAAAGATGGCGTTTGAGAATAATCGCTTCTCTGAACAGCTAAAGCATGTACATGTATAGCTCGCCAATGTCCGACAAACGCCGCACTTTTGAAAGAGGGATGAAGTTGGTGTTGCCCTCGGAGAGTATACAGGTGTGTGCCGTTAAACATTGCATGGTAAATCATTCTCCCTAGTCATACCTAAGCTAGCCTGCGTGGCAAGCGTCGAAAGCTTTTTTCCTCTCCCTTTTTTTTTGCCCCTGCAACGCCAGGCTAACCCAAGTCCTCCACTTGTTCATGATGATCATGTGCTTAAATCAGATGATACAGAATTTCAGTCGGCTTAAGGTGATTCCCTAGTTTTGCACCGCGCATCTCTTACTGCGCATAACAAGATGGCCACCGTAAAAAAGAGCATGTGAAGTAATATTATTAAAATGAAGTTGACTGAAGAGAAACGCTATTGGAATTTTTGCTTGCTGTTGTTTCTTGCCGAGGTGAGACTCAATGTGTTGGGAATGTGCATAACGTAAGCAGTACGCGTGTTGCTGAGTTCGACCTCCTCTCGGAGAACCTCGATAGTGGATGTTTAACTTGTGCTTACTCACTTTGATTTTCATTTAAACACTTTCTTTATCACATTGTGTCCTAAATGTGATATCTCGATGTAAATTCTGTAAAAACGGATTTTTTAATACTTTCTTCCCCTTTTCACATACATTCTATTTTGAAACTCGCCCCAGTCCTCTCTCAAAAATCGGAGAAAATGCGTTTGGTGCGCACTTTCTGCAGCTCTACCGCAAAAACGAGTACGGTGACCCCCATTTTTTATTTCATGATTTTAATAAGGACAGTGCTTCCTTTCGATGAGAAAAAAATTGGCACAAATCTATGTTCAGTTTTTTGGCAATTTTACTAAATTGTACGGATTGAGCCATCACGGGTCGAAAAGCGCGCGTCCAATTTAATTCTACTTTGGAGCGTAAAGTAAAAACAAGGGCATTAAAGGGCATTTTTCTGGTACGTAAGTGGATAAACAATACATAAAAGTCAAATTCTGTGTGATGTCACATGCATCATCGAAAAAATCTCTCCTTTTTGTCTAGTTTTGCGCTGCCCGCGGTTTTTGTAAAAGGGTCCTAAATAGCCGTATTTGTCAGCATTGTGACGTCAAAACGAGCACGGTGACCCCCACTTTTTATTACTTTTTTATCATCTTCTTGACTTGTTACATCAGTGTACCAAGTTTTAGCTAAAATCTATGTTAGGTTCTTTTACTATGGAATCACCTTAAGAAAGACTCTGAGCCGCACCACGAGTTTTACGTGTCATAATGCATAGATTCAGGATGGAATGGGTAAACAAAAACATCAAGTGAGGTTCTCATAATCATCTCATTCAATCACCATGCCAGACGAGATGCGACTGCAAGTTTTCATCGATATTAAAGGTTGCCGATCACGCCACTTTAATTTAAGATTCACTGTAGGACCTAACATTGGAATAATAAAGTACTCAGTCATAAACAAAGTCCATCTTTGTATAAACTGGAAAATTTCAAATACATCGAGGAATAAATTCACATGGACATCCCCCATGACTTGAGATCAGACCTATCAGGGCTCGCGCTTTACGTGATCGTTTCCATGCATGGAAGCGAGACGAAACTAGAGCCTGATCTAAAGTCACCTGAAAGCGGTGAGCAAGCAAAGTCACAATTTATTTTAGCCTTTTAAAAGCGTTTCAGGATAATCCTTTCTTGCACTGATTGGATAGAAAGAATAGCACGAGATTTTGAGCCAATCAAATGCCTCTGGCTCTGCAACAGCTAATCAGAAGAGGCTGATATCGCACTAAAAAGACAATCTAATGATTGACGACACAACTTTGTTATTGATCAAAAGGTGCAAACAACCCCCTCGTGAAGGACCCACTTTTACAACACTACAAAGTTGTACTACACTCCATCATAAAGAATGGCCGCAACAGGAGAGGTATGTCGTTTACTTGTTTTTCACCAGGGAGTTTAGTTAAGGTTCACACTTACTTACAGTGTTGCCAAAGGTTTTTGTAGGAAAAAAGGAAAAAAAAAAAGGTATTGTGACAAATTTTTAAGTAACACCTGAAATGACAGTAAATTGTCACACTAGTTATTATAATCCATGAAATACAATTCGTCCCATCCCATCGTAAAATTATGATACAGTGGAACCTCGATAATATTATTCAACGAAGGGCTAAGGCACCGGCAAAATGAGTTCGCTATATCGCCTATATCGAGGTTCTTTTTCATATGTCAGCATATATCTTACTATGACTGGGGTTGAAGAGAATCGTTCGTTATACCGTGGTCTTCGTCATATAGAGGTTCGTTATATCGAGGTTCCACTGCAGCTACTTCGCAATTCATCAGTTTAATCACCCGGTCCTAGTATAAGGCAACTGCTGAAACACATGGAAAAAATTCATTTCTAAGAGTAAAATATTTGGGTCTTAAATAGAAATCCGAGACGACGAGCGGGCCCTGCGCGAGCTTATGTCTGTCAGTTTTTGTTTCTTTGGGAATATGGGCGCAGGAAACGGATAGATTCGAACAAGATTTGAAACCAAGCTTCAAAGTACAATTTGTATGTTTAAAGGCAATCTGAAAAGTAATCTCTGGGGTACTCAACAAAGTTTTTACGGCGAGGCTCCGCCCCTATGTCCAAACACATCTTTGTCAGACAAGGTACCCCTTTCGTATACCTTCTATTGACGAATTGTCGGTACCCCTTGATATACCTAGTTTATAAGAGTTGCTTCCCTTTTAGCTACTTTAAATGCTCGTCCCGTCTTTAAAATATGAACAAACCCAAGAACTTTTTCATAACCATAAAATGCATCCTTTTTTGAGCCTTTTTACAGAGAAAAAGGACAGATTTCCCTACAACCTCGTCCCCAGGGCGCTTTTCCCTGGCCAGGGAAGAGCGCCCTGGGGACGAGGTTGATTTCCCTACCCTTTTATATACCTGATGACTGAAAAAGGTACCCCTTTCTGGTGGAGCCTCCCCTTAAAGGCAGTTATAGGGAGTAACGTAACTGCTCCCTGGGATCCAAAAGCACCGGAAGCTTTTTTCCTTTTCTTTCATAACTGCGAAATGCTCATACGTTCTTGTCTAGCCTGGGTGCAGTGGGGGCTGTACACAGGCTAGTTCTGGTCTTAATGCACCAGGAAAGCCGCTTACTCCCATACCTGAAGAATGCAGAGCATTAGCGGTAGCCTGTGTAGCAGGCGTCGAAAGGGGTAGGGGATAGGGAGGAAGGGAAAAAGGGAGGAGGATAAGGGAGAAAGCGAGACCGCCGCGTTTCGCCTTTCCCGCGTAGGGTGATTTCACGCGCGCTCGCGTTTCGCTCGCTCTTCTATCCCAGAGGGAAAATGGGACTGCTCGTAGTCTACCCTAACTCTGTTATTAGTCCATAAGTAGTGGAAAAAACAAAAAGCATATTTAGTTCTTTTTCCCCTTTTTAAATTAGATTGTGATTCGGTTGAACAACACATTACCTGACGGGACTCCAGCGAGCAATAACAAGAAAATGGATCACCAAGGTAATGTATTAAAGCTAACTGAGCAAAACTCACGTAGCAGCTGAAATTCTTTTAAGATCCCCCTTTCGTCGTTTTCTTCAAACATCGTAAAATAGATGAATGAAACATATTTCCTTATTTTTTCTGTCAGATTCACTCCTATGGACACCTCAAGGAAAGCCGATGTTGCCTGCCGCCTTTTTGTTGGTAGAGAAAACGGGCAAACTAGGATCCTGTTTCAACGATGGAAAACATTGCCGTCTGATGTCTATTGACAATTCTCTTCACTAAAATAAAGTCGTCAAACAATTTTTATGAGAATAGGAACCAAGAAAGGGCTGATTAAAGAAGGACACTGAAAATTACTTATCTTTATAATTGAAACGTATGTAATGTTTGTATTGATAGAATTTCAAAAAAGAAAATGAACAAAAGGGAAACGCAGAGGACCTGAAGAATCAAAACACTGATTCAAACTATTTTTTTGTTTATTGAAAGGAGCACCACTAAAAAAAAGGCTACCCGTGTGCTCTTTTCGGTTAGCCTGCGTAGCCAGCGGGATTGCTATTTAGCGCGGCGAGCAAAGTTTTGGCAGAGGAACTGCGAAGCCGTCCGGATAATGGGGAAAACACGCTCCCGTGGAAACATAAAGACAAGCAGAGTTTGCCAGTCGCCTTTTTGCTGGTGGAAATGACTAATAAAGCAGGGCAGTGTTGCAACAAAGAAAGATATTGCGCTCATCCGTATACACACTGAGACTCCATACGCATCGACCAGGGTGTTGACTTCCTGCAGTGTTAATACATATTCATAAATGTATATGCATAAACATGTAATAAAATAAGATCTATTCACAAAAATTGTTTTGAAGCGTTCCGTAATACACTGGAGTAACTGGCCGTGTTTGGCCTCAAATCAGTTGTGAAAATTCTTTCATTCGGACGGATGCGTATAAGGCCGGCTTTTTTGAGTCTCTGAAATGCGTTGGTCGCTGCAATGCAAGTGAAAGCAAAAAAAAAACCTTCAACAAAGTTTTCTGGCCATCAAAAGAAACGCTTGACCTAGTAACGATCAGCTGGTGATCCTACTCTGTTTCCACCGTTATCAAGAATCTGTGACATCACAGTGATATGTGTTTCCCCGATTCCGGGTAGGGAAAGCACCTTTTTACTAAGGGATATGTGTTCAGGGGAAACACATGTCACTGTGACGTCACACCATGGGACAGGAAGGGATTCACTAAAATTTGGCATTTCCCCGAATCCCGCGTATTTACGTCAAATCCTTAATCCCGAAAATGTCGTTTAAGACTCTGAACTTTATTATAACATACAGTAAAGAAAGTCATTTATAGGCTAGCCTGCGAAAACAGCCGTTTCTCCTCGCTTCTCCCCGCTAATGAAAATGAGAAACGTCTGTTTTCGCAGGCTATTTCTTGGCATATTGCGCTAGTTAGCCCGAAAAACAGGCTTTTTCTCGCGGCTTTCTCGCTTGCCTTGCTCCTCTGAAAAACGTGAAGCAGGCTTCTCTTTGACTATGTACTCGTACACTCAGGCTAAATTAGCGTTAAAGGATCTTCCTTCTCCCTAGCATGTTTTAGTCGGTCATTTCTTCTTCCTGCTTATAGCTTGTCACGTATTTTTCTGTTTCTCAGGGGCACTCAGCGACAGTTTCCTACGGCCAAATACACTGAAAACGTTTTTTAATTTTTGGCTGTCCAGAGTACTTGTAGATCTCTAGAAATCCGCGCGTTCTAAGCGACGCCCATAAAATTTGTATCTGTTCGGTCATCCAAGGGAAATGGGCAACTTGAGTCTTTTCGAAATTACAAGCGCTTCAGTATTATTTTCCCGATAATTTAGGATATATTTTAAAGTTTTACGAAAGTAAGATTTTTTCTGATTCTTCTCTCCATCAAATTTTCGAATCCGAAAATCCTGGCGGTTTCCTTTTTCTACGAAAAACAGCTTAATAAGCTCCTGGGGAGTAAAATGTGAACAAGTAAACTTCAGGAAATCGTAAGGAATTTATTAGATAAGCTTCGATCGAAACTTGTCAGTGAAAGGAAGGCCATCTAGAAATTTTTAAGCCCCCTCCTCAAGCTAGAGAAAATTGACGTAATGTTTGACAATTGAGGTAATTTTTGAATCCGAAAATTTTAGGTTTCCTCATTTTCTGCGAGAAATAGCCCGTAACATGGGGAGTGAAATGTAAAAGAATACTAGTTCAGAAAATCGTAGGAAATTTATGAGACAAGCTTCGAAAATTATACATGAATGGAACGGGAATCTAGAAATTTTTAGCGTCCTAAACCAGTAGAAAATTCTAGGCTATGTTTGCTTTTCCGAACAGATATTTTACAGAAAACGGTGAAATTTGGATTTACAATTTTATTTTCTCAATGCCCATTGTCCGGTTGTTTTCCGATCTTTGCTACTTTGAGTGACTTTCACGAGGTAGTCTTCTGACCTGCACGCAATTTCCAATATCAGTAATCTCGTTTTAAAGTTCCCTGCCACCTATTTCCTGAAATATGACACTGCATAACATGAGCCTTCGATGCTTCTCCTATGCGGTTTATCAATTCAGCGCATGAGTTTTTCGTGTTAAATCTTGCAGAAAACTTTAAAAAAACCTGACTTCGGAAAATGACTTTCGGGGTTTTCAATTCAAACTTTTAAAGTTTATTATTTTCTCCTGTTTACTTTGCGTGTGGCTTCTTTTCAATAATGCGTCTGTGTAATTCGGGGATTATTTTCCTTATTTTGGCGTGTTGTACCGTCGTCCTGTCCGTGGAGTTAACCAGGAATAAACCTGCGAAAGATTTGCTGAAGTTGTCGATGCCCAGCAAAGCGAGGATCAATGCTAAACGATTTCGACGAGATGCAGACCCTACGGAACCTCCTGATGTATTGAGCTTTGGCATGGATAAAGAAAAATGCGAGGATCCTACTATTTCTGAAGACAGAGAAATTACTAACTTTGATGTAAGCCTTGAGTAATTTAAAATACGATCTATTGTTCTTCGCGTGCATTCACGATTTTGTGCAGTGGTTGTGCTAAAATTTCCGCGTTGGTTTCTTGTTTACAATTTACAGTGGAAGTTTGAAAACGAGACAAAACTTAGCATATCAATGGCATGGATAGGAAAGAGAAAGACCGGGGAAGCATCAGTAAGTTAACATTCGTTCAGCGTAGCGAGAACTGGTTATGTAAACAAGTATAGGCTTTTATGTAAATTCTCTGCTGTAGTTGTTATTTTCGTTGGCTGTAACGGCCGCTGGATAGCTACACATTGCTCAACATTAGTAGGGTTAAGGAAAAACAAATAAACGTTTTCTGATGGCTTTTGAATTGTTAAGGCTTGCACCTTCCGTGAGCGTCGTGAGATTTTATTATTGAAATTTGCACTTCGATTTCCATGGATTCCGACATTTTGTAAATAAAATGTTAACTTTGTCTGTAGAGGTAACCTATATTATAGTGACATGGGTGAAGGTGAACATGACGCTCCCTTCAAACCTATCACTCTATTATTATTGCCTGAACCCAAAATACCTCTGAATTCATGATCATAAAATTTTTTAAAGCTGAAAATTATGAAGTCTCTCAGCAGCTGTATGTATGTACACTGTATTTATTTACTCAGGTGATGATATTTATTCTTAATAGTTACACTGTATGGTGAAAGATGTCAAATATTCAAGGGAATTCTGTGAGCAGTCAATCGTCTTTGAAGGGGGCATAAGGGGGATGGCATTACCACAAAACGGCACAGATATACGTATAAACACCACACAGAATAATAACTATAAGAAAACTGAAACTGCATCGAAATTAGCCAAAAATATTTAAATAGACCACAAACCGCTTGGTTTTGTGAAACTGCAATACTGAAAATTGAAATTAAAGTTTCCTCAAAATGGCACCAAAAATTGACCAGAACCACTTCCCCGCAAATCCTTGCGCCCCCCTCATTTCTCAAGTGAACATGTGAATTAAGAAAAATAATTTTGGTAAGATTTTCATATAACCCCATACATTTATATTGCATACATGTTTCAACTCTATTCATATGTAACTATTTGTGAGAAAAAGTATGAAATTGGTGCATGCATAATGAAATTAATGTTTGGGGTTACATGGAACTCTTACCAAAATATTTAATAGAACAATCAAACTTCGTGGCTTTTTCCATCTTGTTCAAATTATTTGTCAAAGTGTTGGCAAATTTTTTTGAGCTGAATTCTAAAGGACCATACCTAATTCCAGAAAAAAAAGAAATTGTTGTTTTGTGTTTACATCCTCCATAAAATGTGAAATCAGGAAGTTTCTTGTCCTACGTGTGGGAAGGCAAAGAAATGTACAAAAAAGTGTGATGCATATTCAGAATTGTTGTTCTACTAATCTAAACTTCTAGCTTTTGCTGTTCTCAGTACCTTTTTAGTCTGTCATTGTGCTAAGCTTAAGCTCTGTTATGACTGGAAATAAGACTGTACGGTGTAGAATTAACATCACTGTAGATTTTTACATTGGAGGCAGTATAGCATTGTCAGAAAGAAGAGGAACCTGGTAGGGGTTGAGATTGGTGGAATGTACTCTATAATCATTGATAGTTACAAGCAGAAAATTACATCATAACATTTGCATTCTTTTTTCTCTTAATAGGCACTGCTTCTCTTAGCTACAACAGAGTTTTCTTTTCTGTTCACCAAACCATCAGTCCTATATAGAAGGTATATTGTAACCATTTTTGATGCATACATGTCATAATTACAGTCAACTCTCTCTAAGACAGACACCTTTGGGACCGGCACTAAGTGTCTGTCTTAGAAAGGTGTTCGTCTTATAGAGAGTCAAATAAAGGGAGTAAAGAAAGGCAAGGGCCAACTCTAGGTGTCCGTTTTACAGAGGTGTCCGTCTTATAGAGGTGTCCGTTAAGAGAGAGTCGACTGTATATATAACTCTATGTACATGTATGTACTGTTTATGTTTATGACATCAATATCACATTAGCAAATGATTTTCAACTTTCATGCAACCTTCAGATCAGCCGATTCAAATCCATCTTGGAAAATTTTGGCCCCATCTCGAAATCTTGGAAGTGTTTGTCATGGGTCTCGAACTCACACTTTCGGTGATTTTGCATCTCATAGGTTCTAATTAATTTTTTGAAGTCTCAGTCTCGAATTTTGAAACCAGTCTTGCAAAGTCTCAAATTTACCATTCTATACCCCTAATTATCCAGGGTTCTATTTAGGGTATCTGGGGGGGTAGAAGCTTCCTCCCAAAATGCCCAGCTCCCCCCCCCCCAAAAAAAAAAATGTTGTTATCATTACGGTAAGTAACTATATCAGAAAAATCATCCAGATGCGACGAGGTCATTGCACACTGTAACATTTCTCAAAAAGTGTCAAAATGCACTAGATTGAATCTCAGTGTATATTTATTCAGAAAACTCATGGCCTTTGGCCACTCGAGACTTCTCCCCCAAATGAAAAGTCCTAGATAGAGCCCCATTATCGGATCCTTATTTGGAAGAGGCTCAGAAAGTGGTCGTCAAGTTAGTATGAGCAACACCTTTGTGACTAATCATGCAATGACTGTTCAGTATGGTGGAAGCTCTGATCAGTGGACATTACCACAGCGTATTGCTATCATTCTTTTCTTTACGTGCCCAATATTGAATTAAACAATTTAGCAAAAACAAAATAACTCTATATGTCAACCCATCAGTGCCCCCGACCAGATTCCGGACAGATTTTACGTCGTCCGTGTGGAATTTTTGTCGCTGATGCACAGTTGTCCCAGGAAAGACAGCTGTATTCACTGGCTATGAAGTTTCAGGCTTTCTGCTGACCTTATTTTAAGCTTTTCAAGAATACAAACATATCAATCAAGCTCAACTTTTTCTTTGTCAACAGTGATGACTTTGGTAAAAAGTTCCGCCCTATCAATGCAGAGATATTTAATACACACATCAGAAAAGCTGGTGGAATTATGAAAAGTCCTGTGAATCCCAAAAAGGTTTGTTGCTGAGGGCTTAGAAATTCTGTTGTATAATATTGTTGTTCAACACGAAGCTCAGGTAAAAGTGGTGTCCTTTGTTTCCTAAAGAACAAATGAAAGTGGGAATCAAGCACGATTGAAACCATTTTAACCTGAAATTCTTTTTGAACTACAACTTATTTAGGATATTCAAGAATTTATGGATGGTCATGTTCATGGTTATTTTTCCCTGTTTACTTTCACTGGTAGATTTCGTGTACTATTTTATCATAATAATAATAATAATAATAATAATAATAATAATAATAAAACTGTGAAAGGTTTGAACCCAGGAGTCATTTCAAAAGGTTGAGTTTGATCATCTGGGTGAACGAAGTCCTGAATAGGACTGTCGTTGTCGACTGACAGACGACCAATAACATCGTGACATAATTGACCAATCAGATCAATAACCAGAGTATAATACCATCAACTGACGTGATACAACTCACTTTGACTCTGAAGATGACTACCGCACAGGTTGTCGAAACGNTCCTGAATAGGACTGTCGTTGTCGACTGACAGACGACCAATAACATCGTGACATAATTGACCAATCAGATCAATAACCAGAGTATAATACCATCAACTGACGTGATACAACTCACTTTGACTCTGAAGATGACTACCGCACAGGTTGTCGAAACGTCAGTCACTGTCAACAACAACAGTCCTATTCAGGACTACGTTCACCCGGACAATCAAACTCAACCTTTTTAAATAATAATAACAATAATAATAATAATAATAATTATTATTATTATTATTATTTTTCCACTATAGTTTTCCTTCATTAAGTGCCCATTTATGGCAGAGTGGGCGCCAGAGAGGTTCAACCCTTAGATTGGTAAGAAGTTTAATAGAGAATTGCACCATCATTCACTGTCTGGTTCTTTTCCTCTTTTCAAAGGTCATCCTTGTATCTCATGGCAGTATACTTTTCTTACGCAATTCTGTGATTGTAAGAACCATTGATGGCGGAGAGACGTGGACAAATTATCAATTACCATTTCAAGTCACTGGTCCCCTTCTCTTTCATCCTCGAGAAGAAGATTGGATTCTGGGTAGAGGTGTTGTCAATGGAAAGGTACATGGTATTTTTTGTTTGTTATACACTACAGGCCATGGGCATTGCAGCATTACACACGTCTTTCTTGGGTGTCAATCCACCACATTGCACACAAATTACATGAGAAAATTATACAGGCGTGAAACACGCATTTAAAAAATACACACAAAAATACATGAGAAGATAAACGCAAATTTTTGGAAAGGAAGTGGAAAATTTTTGTTTGTGTAAAATTTTATACGTGTTTTTTGCATGTATTTTTCATGTAAATCCACCATATTGCTTGCTATTTAGACTCCTGTAAATGCTGCAATACCCGTGGCCTGTACTGTAGATCTTTACTAAATTTCCCAGTTGGTTGAGTCAAGGCAGTGCTGTGCATTGCATTTGACTGTTACTGGGTTATGGCTTGCAGTGCCAAGAAAAAAAATACAGGACTCTGAATTAGAAAAATTGAAACCATTTAAGAGGTGGGTTTCTGTGAAAAATACCTTTTTTTTTACGGAACCAAAAATTTTTAACAGATGTTAATTTTCCTATGATCTGTGGGCAAGCATCCGGAAAATTGTTTTCCATGGCATCTAAAATGCTTGGACTTGAAACATGCTTCATTTCAATGGGTATATCAATATGTTTTCAATTAACTGCTATTTATAAGAATTGCATTTCTGGCATGAATGGTGATGAGATGATACTTGTCCTTGTAGGTATTTTTATCAAAAGACTTTGGAAAAACGTGGACATTTTTGCAGACTTATGTTAGAGATGTTAAATGGTGAGAAATGACAGTGATGTTATTAAAACACGTAACAGCTATAGTGTAATAAAATAAAATAATATTAATTATGGTGTAATATATATTAAAGTTGGTATTACATTGTAATACTAGAGATAATCATTGATTATTAAAGGATCCGCATTCATCACTCATGGAAACGAAATCCAGTCGAGGAGTCCAGTTTCCTGGCCAAGACGCCCCTGATAAAATCAGTAGGGGCGGCTAATCAGCAGTTGCCTGCAACACCTTGAAAATTTGTGGCTTTGGAAAACCAAGATTAGGATGCGTTCTGATGAAAGCAAATATTATTGTGTGGTTCCAGAAAATATCCATACCCCCCCCACGGAAGACCATTGGAAATTCCGAGGGGGAGGGGGGGTTCAAAGGCAGTAATTTCCGAGGGGTATGGGGGGTTCATGGGAAACTATTTTCCAAGGGGTGACAGACCATGTACAAAACACTGAAACCCGGGGGGGGGACTCCCATATCAAACAGACGGGGATGCTCGTCGGAAATTTTGAATTTAACCCCTAAAGGAGACCATCTAGGCGTAGCTCAAGCTTTTTGTGACCCCTAAAGGAGACGAATCTGGGCGTGGCTTAAGCAAATTTTGACCCCTAAAAGAGACCGCTTAAAAACACACAAATACGACATGCAATGAGTTTTAATGATATAAAGATATAATCATCGAATGCTTTTATCTGAAAGAGGTTTTTAAAAGCATTGTCATAAATCTCAAGTTCTTCGCGGAACCCTAAACGAGACCTTGGCGGCTTAAAATATTAGCGCTTTGCCCGGAACACCCTAAGCGAGACCAAAATCCAAAATTTACACCCCTAAGCGAGACGACGAGCATCCCCGTCTGTTTCATATCGGAGTCCCCCCCCCGGGCACTGAAAGCAACGTACGATCGATCTCAAGCACAAAAACATACCTACGTACGTTGTTTTGAAAAAAAAGTCGGTACTCCTGGCCATTGACATGAGATTAACATCATTAGCTTTAATGTTTCTGTTTTTCTTTGAGTTCGCTAGCGCTACAATCTCCAGAAGAACGATGTGTCTTTGGAACGAAGTCGAAAACGATTGAAAATGGCGGACATAACTGGAGTCTTGTCTTCGTCTCGTCTTCGTCCGACCGACATTAAAGTGCTTTCACTTCTGTTCACTGAGTATCCCTTTTCGCTTCCTTGACATGCATGACACACATTTTTGATAGGTTTCATGTTTTATCAGCGTTTACTGTGCGTGGAAACTCATGAAAAATGCGATGAGACGAGAATACTTTCGTTCCCATTTCTTGCTCGACCTTCACAAGGCCCGGCTACCTGGCTAGTAAATTCTGCAATCGTGACGACGTTCACGAAATCTAGCGCATTGGCATGTACGTGTTGGTGAAGTTTTCGGCCCTTAAATAATAGTCAACCTGAAGAAACTGACAAAATCTGTAGAAATAAAAACAGCCAGACAGGAACCTTGTAAGTTTCTGGGTTTTTCTTGCTACCGTTTGCAAAGTTGTTTAAGCGGGTGAAACTTACATTCTCTTCATAACGTTCGTGTCGCAGTAAACACAAAAACGTAGAACAATCGACGTTTAAACTTTGCAAACCAAATGTTTAAGCTTAATTTATAAGCTTACAAAAAAACAACACAGACATAATTTGCAAACGTGATGGCGAAAAAGCTAAAAGTTTGGCTGAATAATAAACTTAACAAACGTTTACGCTGCACTGTTGTAATAAAATTCTTCCGTATTTTCATAACTGAGTTAGTATTAACTTTCTTTGTTTTTAAGTGCCCAAACTACTTTGAATTTCTAAAGTGTGGTAAGCGAAGTCTCCATTTTAAAATTCTGGAAATTCCTGGGGGGAGGGGGGGTCATCAAAGACCCCCTGGAACGGAAAATCCTGGGGGGTGGGGGGGTGCAAATCAAAGTGTATTCCGTGGTGGGGGTATGGATATTTTCTGGAACCACACATTATTAATGTTTGTGTTATAGTAGGCGCTGGTGCATGTTGTAAGAAAATGACATAATTTCAGATGTAAAATTTGGTATGAGAGCAAATATTTTTAATGTACGGTAAATTTTTAAGTACCCTGGGTACCAGAGGTTTTTTTCTCATGTGCGACGGGGAGCTTTGTTTTGAAGACACAAACAGCGAAGCTGCGAGAAAAAACCTTTGGCACAGAGCGCCTTGATTTACCGTCCTAGATGGACCTTGACCTTGTCTCTAACTAAAGTGGCAGTTGCAAGACTGTTTAATTAGCTAACTCAAAAGTAATTATCAGCGGAGTAACGACGCGTTCTAGCCACATTATCACAGTCACATTATCTTTAGAAAAACAAGGTGTAAATTAAAAATCATTGCTAATCTTGTCCCTGTGCAGTTCTCCATAATTTATGTAACTTCAGTTTAAGCTGCAATCCATTCATGAAAATTTGATTCTGAAAATCACTGAAGGAGAATTTAAAAAGATAAAGGGGATAAGGGAATTCTAGCACAAGAGCACAAGAGGGACACGAGGAGGCATACTGCTCGCACTCTCCCATGCCCAAATTCCACCATCTTTGCCTTTAAACATCTGGGTGAACCCAGGCTAGATTCAGTTATCTATTTAAAATGGAAGGTGAAATGGTGAGTCTACCAGACTGTTGAAAGTGATCCCTTCCTGTTTTCATGTGTGAGTTTTTTTTCTTTGCAGGGGTGCCAGAACAGACAAAAAGGATGACAAAGAAGAGAAGACAATTCTTATGACAGTGGCTGCCAGTGAGTTTAAACTGCCATGATGCACAGGAAAAAATAACAGATTCCCAATATTGGATATTTTAGGGTATTTAAAGAATACCCACAAAAATCCCAAATTTGGCAAAGTGAGACAAGTCCCAACCAGGGAATTCCCAACCAAGTTCCCTGGTTGGNCCCAAATTTGGCAAAGTGAGACAAGTCCCAACCAGGGAATTCCCAACCAAGTTCCCTGGTTGGGACTTGTCTCACTCTTCCAAATTTGGGATTTTTGTGGGTATTCTTTAAATACCCTAAAATATCCAAAAATGGGAATCTGTTATTTTTTCCTGTGATGATATTTTTGTCTTTGTAGTGTTGACGTTATGCATTCCAGTCTTTTTTCAAAACAATCAACATTGTTTAGGAGAGAAGGGGACAGCAGAAGTATAGGCTCTTAAGACAACATTTCCAAGCTTTTATAAGAAGTAGAGTACAAGTTAATTTAGCAAAGTGCCACTTCTGGTCTAAATGCCCACAAGTGTCCCAAGATGGTTTGACCAGGTTTGTAGGTATAAACAATAGTAACCTGAATAAAATTTGACCTCCAACATTTTATACCTGACTTTACCTTTTATGTATTACTTTGGTTTTATTTTGTATTGCTTTCACTGTCCTGATTTTTAGTAACCTGAAGTGATTCTGTTACCTCTGCGTCCTGCATCCCTAATGTACAAAAATCCTCAAAGATGCAAAATAATTCATGGCATGTGTCCCGTAGGGCACAAAAAACGATCGATCAATTTGAAGATTTTGTGGTAGAATATCCTGTTGGTGTGATTTCTGTGGCTGTTGTTTAAAGATGCATTTTAATTATTTCAGTCTAATTTTTTTGCTTTAAATATATAGAAGGACTATATTTCAATTTTAGTAAACTGTAATAAAGAGTTTTGGCATCTGTCTCTAGATTAACTATCTGGTTACATAAAGGCCCCAGCATTTTCAATTTGGGACTCCTTGATTTTTTTTAACCCTTTAAGCCCCAATATCCACATACAAATTCTCCAAACTGATCTCCATACATTTCTTTAAAGAATACGTTGAGAGAATTTGATAAAGATCAAAGCATTTTCTCTTATGCAATCATTTTGTTAATTCTCATAACCTTACTTCTTAACATTGTATGGATATTATTAGGAGAAAATTGATGTTGGTCACTATTGGGAGTTAAAGGGTTAACTGGGAGTCATTGGTTGTGTACAGGGACTCATGATTACTCACGGGATGAGTCCCAGGACACATCATAACTATTTGTAACAAAATCACTGAACTTGTACTTGACAACCAGTTGACATGTGTAATTTTATGCATGCAGTTTAGATATCCTACAGTTTTACTGGTGAAAAGTTGTAACTTGCATTTAGAAGGAGTAATTATCCATAGTCTGTCCGCTTCGAACACATTGACTACCTAAATGTTGATAAAAATAATAATATTGAAATGTTTCACAGGTCCTCAAGGCTTCCTGATGGGAGAGGCTGACTTGATGAGATCAAGGGACCTGGGAGAAAAGTTTGAATGTAAGTCAACATCTGGTGAGGGGTTTCAATATTAATTTTATACTACGACATCAGAAATTTTTGCAATTTGATTGGCTTAGAGCAGTGGTTTTTCAGCTTTATTTGAAATGCCTACATGTGAAAATTACAAACCTTTTGCGGGTAGTAGTATAAACAAATAATAGCATGATTTGTACGTGATATGTGGCATAAATACCACTCGTGATATTTCAAAATTGTCTCAAATTTCACTCACCTAACGGCTTGTGAAATTAGGTATAACAATTTTGAAATATTACTTGTGGTATTTATGCCAAATATGACTACAACATGCTATTACCTATACAAGTTGAAGTAGCCAGCAGGTTTGAATAGAGTAACCAACTGTATCAACAAGGGGCTTTTAGTTGCCTTCATCTAGAAGGAGTCTGGGGGCATGAATCTCCAGAAAATGTTGAAAAATGCAATTTCATGGATTCTGGGGACCAAGTTGGGTGTACTCAAAAGAGTGTGTTTTTCTAGCATATTGTATTTCAGTCAAGTTTCGATTTATCAACCACACAAACAACTCCTATCCTGTATCAAAGCATTGCACAAATGACAATATTTAATAAAATTACATACATTACATTTTTGTAAACAAATTCTGTATAACACTACAAAGAATACTGATGAATAATTATGGTCTTACACTTTTTCAGCTATTCATGTTCAGCATGTTTTTAGCTTTGGGCTTCAGGGACCATTCCTATATGTATCCATTAACCATAACAAGGTGACTAAATTGTACTACACTTAGTTTAGGACTCAATTACTTTGTAACACTTTCTGTGTCAATGTATTATTGTTGAAACAGAGTTGTCTTCACTTTTTCCGACATCACTGTCATCATCAGGGTTCCCATCGCCTTCACTATTATTATTGTGAGTGACCTTACACCATCATCATCACAGTCTAGTAATCACCATTGCTGCCATAAACATCATCATCATCATCATCATCATCATCATCATCATCATCATCATCATCGCTGTCGTTGTTGTCGTCTTCATCATCATCGTCATCATCACTGCCATCATCATCATCATCATCGTCGTCGTTCTCGTCGTGGTCATCATCATCATCATTATCATCATTATCATTGCCATCATCATCATCATCATCGTTGTCGTTGTCGTCGTTGTCATCATCATTGCCATCGTCGTCATCATCATCATCTTGATTATCATCTCATCATTATCATCATTGACATTATTGAGATATTTGTCACTATTTTTGTTTTTACATATACAATGTAGCCTCTTTTGTTTTATTTTTGTCACCTGTTGTGCTAATTATTTTTGCGTCATCTGCAAACTCTCATTACTAAATTGTTTTATGGATCTGCTGTACATATGTTGTTTTTTCTGTTAGAATAACAATACACGCATAATGCACGTGTCTAAGGATGGTGGGGATTCTTGGAATCCTGTTCAAGTGCCGACCATCACACCTGAGAGGGTAAGTTTTACAGCAGCTGTCCATGTGTTCGTGTGATATGGAAACAATGTTCAGACCTGACAACCATTTGAATTCAAACCATGATTCAGTGGGGAGTTTAAGCAACGATGGCAATGGCAGAGATAACGTCACCCAAAAAGTGTTTCGCACTGTTTCAAACTTTATCGCTCTTATTCCAACTCTTTTAATTTGGCAAATGTTGACGATTTTTTCAGGAGTTGAATTCTAAAGGACTGTATTGAATTGAGTTCACAAAAAGAAAAAGAAAATCACTGTCTTGTGGTTATGTCTTCCATAAAATGTGAAAAAAAATTAACAAGTTTCACTTTGTAGTCTTGGAGTGATGGCAAAGAAAATAATGTATAAAAAAGCATTATGCATGTGCAAAGTTGTTGTTTTGCCAATCTCAACCTGTTGTTTTCTTGACGTTCTCATTGCTGTCGCCATCAATGTTGCTTTAGCTCCCTAGTTCCCACTAGACAATGACTGGATGCAGCTCAATACCTGGTAGCAGTTTAACTTAACAAGCTTCTGACTCATGCCATTTTTCTCCAAATGACATTTGGATTTCAGACATAAAAACTGGACACATATTTTTTTGGATATTTTACATAATTATAGTTACACTTAGTTACCATAGGGAGACAGAGGAGGGGCTTGAAGTTTCTTTGTTTACTTTTCTAAATAAGCATTGTGGTCTTGAAGTGTGCTTATAAATACTTTTCTGCTCGTGTTTTTCTTACAATCTTTCCTACAATCTAAAGTCCCTAAGACACTGAAATGTTGAGTTAACAGAATTTACTAATATGGTTATTGTGATTACATGTAGTCTTCTACATTGTACATTATGAATAAACAGTGTATCCAGACAAAGCCTTGTCTTGATGTATGAATCTGTTGTATAAAATAAATTTTTGTGCTCTATACAGACTCTAGTTTTGAAATACAGTCACTAGACAGTCCCAGTATACACCGTCATACAGTCATTTAATACTTTCACGTTAGCCAAAATACTTCTTGTTTACCACCCCCCCGCCCCCCTCCAAAAAGAAAAAATTGCATAAGTGGTGTTTTCAAGTTTTCTTGGAAGGATTGTAAATCCCAAGAGAATTGGAAACAATGCCTATGCAAAACCTTTTTTTTTTTGCGGGGTGGGGGGGGGGGGCGATGGGGGGTAAACAAGGTGTATTATGGGAATGGGAAAGTAGTGAACTTTGTATTTCTATGCTAGTTTTACTCCATCCTGGACATGTCTGAGGGGATGATCTTTCTTCATGTGGATGACCCAGGAGGTAATTTGTGTACTTTGACTTAAGTTTGTTAATACACTGCAGGGTTCAAATTGAAAAGGTACCATACTTTTCGCCATCTGAATCAATAATTTACCAGCAAGATCCTGAATTTTCAGAATCTAGCATTTAAGAAGTTGAATTTTAAGTATCGTGCCAGCAAAATCTTGAATATTCAAGATGTTAAAGTTTTTGAAGTGACCGGTGTAAAACGGTTCAACCATATCGTGTTTGCTTTATTTCAGACACTGGAAAAGGAGTGTTGTACACTTCTGATGCTGACGGGATCGTTTTTAGTGAATCTCTTAGAGACCACGTGGTGAGTTTGATGCGTTTTTTGTGGAGGTAGACCACAAGCAGTTGTACTCTTTTCCTTAGAGTAACACGTTGCATGTGAAAAAGTAAAATTATGAAAATAAATGCTTCTGCCCTCTTTCGTCGCGACTATGCCCTCACCCCATGTGCTCTTAATTTACTTTGACTCAGAAGAAAAATCAAGGACTGCTCACAGTAGTATTCTGAAGGTAACAACCGATTTCGCTACTTGGCGAACTCGCTACGTTCTAGTTCTCAACAAATTCGCTACGGTTTTTTTTTCTTTGAGCCATTGAAAATATTCCCTTAATCGCTCTAGAAAAGAAATCTTGTAATATATTTGAGCTTACCCAACAATGCCAAGACAAGAGCAGCAAGTCAGCATCCAAAACAATACGGTTTAGTGAGCTACAGTACAGGCCAAGGGTATTGTAGCATTACACGCGTGTAAAAAAATACACGCAAAATTTTGCAAACTGAGTGCAAATTTTAAATTGCGTGTAATTGTTCGTGTAAAATTTTACACGCGTGTTTTTGCGTGTATATCCACCATATTGCACGCAATTTACACGCATGTAAATGCTGCAATGCCCATAGCCTGTACTGTAATTAGTAACTCTGCTAATGGATTTATCGAAGTCCTGTCAGATAAATATTTTTACTTTGTGGAATATCATTAATTTTATGAGGATATTGTTACACTGTACATTGGGCTATCACGGGACTGCAGTCATCTTGTTCATCTCAAATGAAAATGCTGCCGCTGTTAATGTCGTTGTTTTTATTTTTCGGTAAACAGTACACAAACTATGGTGAAGTGAATGATTTTTTCAAAGTTGAGTCAATGAAAGGGACTTACCTCACCAGCCGCATGAATAGCGGTAAGTATGCCATACATTCCTGTGTCCTAGTCTACTTGTAGATATCTCTTACGTGAGGCTAAGAACACCCCATTCATGCTGTCTCATCGTTATTGCAGTCCCTTCTGTCTCTTCCTCAGCTACCCTGTTTTTTATTTATCCCACGGCTACCTAGCCTGCAACACAGACGAAACTAAACTCAGGTTAAGTCCGTCTGCCGCGGGAAACAGCGCCAAAATCCATGTTCTGGGTTCCCACCTGTGTACCAGGATTTGAATACGCGCCATGATTGGCCTGTTAAAAATGCCATTGTTGATTTGCCAATCAGGTTGAGAGGAAATTCGAAACTCACTTCCGGTAGATCGTTGAGTCCGTTGACGGTCTTGAACAAGAATATCGTCTCTGCTTCGCAGACGTTACTAACTGGAGTTTGTTTATGTCTGCGACACAGGCTAACGGCTATTAGTAAAATCCAGCTAGTGGTCTATTAACAATGCTGTTTTCTGATTGGCTATATATTATTGTCCACTAGTAGCGAAAAGCGCCGGCTTTTTGGCGGCAAAAAAAATTAATGTCTAGCTTTAACTAGTTAAAGTTTTCTTCGATATTAATTTTTTGACCAACTAGTTGGATTTTACGAAAACAATTATTCCTCTCGCCCTCGTGGCCTCTGAGTCAATAGCCCATTCGGCCTCGAGGAATAATTGTTAACTATTTGGCATAAAAGTCAAACTATCCATCTTTGCAGTGAAAGGCTCAACCTCGTTCCCAAGGTTCTCTAATTTGCGTGGCATTACATATTGTAGTGATCGTTTCGCCCAGTTGTTGTGAAGTGCGATTGGTATAGGTAATAGCATGAGTTGTAGTGATATTTGGCATAAATACGACGAGTGATATTTCGAAATTGGTATACGTAAAGGCGAGTGAAATTGGAGACAATTTTGAAATATCATGAGTGGTATTTCTGCCAAATATCACATACAAATCATGCTATTATTTGTTTATACTACTGCCCGCGAAAGGTTTGTAATTTTCACATGTAGGTATTTAAAATTAAGCTGAAACACCACTGCTCTAAGCCAATCAAATTGCAGAAAATTTTCAAGTACTAGTATAGAGAATGAAAATCAGCATTGCTCCATAAATTGAGAGAAAAAATCAAATCAATGCTGTATAAACTGGCATTAAAAGGTGGAATAAGGCGAGCATAAATTCCCATGGATTTACCTGCATACTTGTTTTGTCACACAAATTTCATCATCTAAAAACAAGGCGTCAATTTTGTGGTGAAATTTACAGCTGTGTTTTTATGTGGTATTCTTTTCCCAAACTGCAGATAACTCTGTTACTTCGTTGATAAGCTATGATCGTGGAGGAGAATGGAAACTTATTCCTTTAACTGAAAAGCAATGCGAGGGAGTTTCACTGAAGGTAAATATTTAAATGCCTCATCCATTGTGGAGATATTCTCAGACCTGCCTTTGCTGGTTTACAGTCGCTCCAATCAAATATTCCAGACCTCCAGATTTGAAGACGTGGACGACTGCGATTTGGAGGTTTTCTCCGTAGAGAAATTAACAGTTACGTTTACGGCGAACGACAAGTCGACAAACTTGAATTTGTACCACATGACCAAGTTTTCCCTTAACTTGTCGTTTACTGTTTATTTTAAATGCACGGAAATCAGTAGATACACGACAGTTTTATCCATAACAATCTTTTTGAGCTTAGAAATTCTCGACGTGAATCTGACATTTGCCATTTTCCGTATGCGTGGACTGTCGTATGCGTGGCTCAAATTTCTCTAAGTAATACTAAGTAGTGCGGGCGCGTGAACCAGCGTCATTTTGGCGGGAAAACGTGATAGCTGTCGCCCCTCTACTACGAGTTTTAGCGGAGCTCCATAGCTAAGGAAATGTGGTAATCTACCCATCCGAGAAAATTTGGTAATCACGTGACCGTACACCGAGCGAGCGATCGAGCGAGCGACCGTCCGTCCGCACCACAGGCATACCAATGTAAAATAACTCAATCAACAGGTATGGCAACCCAAATGCAACTCAAGGTTTTATTTGGGTTGAAATCACATGGCCGCCCGGACTTTTAGAAAGATAAACAACAACAACGTCGTGTGTTTTTCGGCGTTATTTTTTATGTTTACACTAACTTGGATAACAGAGAAAGAGCTAGAGCGAGTTATTGAAAACAGAGGAGACGAATTTCGTAGGAAGAAAAACATGGGAATTCAAAGCGGCGGTCAGAAAATGAGAAATGCTAGCGGCCAGCAAGGTGAAAATGAGCGGCAGTGAAAAATAAAAGCGAACATGAACACAGGAAACAAAATATTGGGTAAGCACATACGACAATTCCTCCATAAAAATAATGTGTACCTAGGAAGTTTGACGTTTTGGTCGTACAAAACAGCGTTGTAGTCGTGCAAAACAACGGCAAGGAAAAGATAAAAAAAGCGTGCTGCACGTGCAAATTTGTTTTTTGCTAATTAGAAGAAAAAGTGTGCTACACGTGCAATTTTTTTTTTTTGGCTAATTAGATCTATTAGTCTTGAAGCCATTTTCATTGTTGTCTCCGTTTAGCATTACACGATTTATTTTTTTTGTTTACACGTATTACTAGGATATCTAAAAGATAGTTATGCTGCGGCACATTCTGTTGATACTGGCATTAGTTAGGCAGTGAGACTTAAAAGAATCAAAAATGACATTGAATGTCCTATTTACATGTTGGAAAGTACTAGAATAATTACTATCAGTCCATAGAAAGAACTCGTGGGAACGTTGTTTAGAAAATGATCAAGTGGTTATCAACTCTGGTTTTCCCACAGTAAATTGTAGGAAATAATAGAAATTCAGATTGTTTATCCATATATTTAATATACAGTGCACGATATTTTCTCTGGAAACACAATACTTTTCTTGCTGTTTGTTGCACTTTATTAAGTAACAGTTATTTAGCTATATATTTATAGAAAACAACAACACAAAAAACGGAAAAAAAAGAAAGGAGGAATAAATAATTCGGTAGGTCTCGAACCCGGCACCTTCGACTCGACGCGACTACACCTAACCACTACACCACAGAGGCTGATTACGTAACCTTCCGGAAAAGTCTTTTACTTTTTTTCTTTTCCATGAAACTTCCGCCGGCAAGATGATCGCCAGCCGCATTAACCGAGCTATTAACAGTGAAAAAAAAAAGGAAAGGCATATTCCAAGGCAATGAATGAATGAAAGAACATGATTATGCTTTTCAAAACGCCGATACACGTCCTCGTCTGCAAAGTAGGGCACAAAACATATGTTTTGTTATCTCGATTTCCGCCGTTATTTTGAAGCGAATGGTCCAAATCACATCCATTTTCGGCACATACAGTTTCTTAAGGATAGCATTGCATGACATTTTCTCACTTTCACATCACCTTCTAGCAAGCTGGAATTTGTATATCCCCCGTGTTGCGAAGTCGAAGAGCAAATGCTCACCTTCTCATCAGGTTTAACACCTGGACGAGTCAAAGGCTCTTGAATTGAAATCCAATCCCCAAGTTAACCATCGTACTCATCTGAAAGACTCCTGCGTGTCTTAAAATTTGGTAAGACCTCTAACCGTGCTGTAGAAAATTTCTCACAAAGAAAACTCTAAGTCTGAGCAGCGAACGATGCACTCTCTCACCCACCGAACTTCCCCGTGTTTTTATTTGAGTTGTTCGTGACGCAATGCACTCTGGTTAAATGCAATGCATTGTGGTAAAAAGTGATGAATTCGAGAATTCGTCGCCCCTTATATATTTCCTTTAAATCCTGATTATGTTGCTGCTCGCTCCCTTCGGTCGCTCCGCAGCAATCACTGTAACCAGAGCTTCGCTTTTAGCCCTTGCTAAATCTATATAGTAGTAAGAATGTCGTAGTGGCGGAAGCAAGTTTTCAAATGTGAGAATATTTATCACTTACCTTCGGGAGAGAGATTGACACCCTTTAATAATAATAACATTGCCAACTTTTCTGGTGAAAAAAAAAGTACAATAAAGTTTTCCGGGTGTCTATTTTTTGAGAAAACGCGAAAAAACCTTGTCTTCGTAGTCGCTCTCGTCCTTGAATCTGAAGGTCTCTATTTAGAAACAGATGGTCTAAATGAAACACGGAGTAGTTACAAACTTAAAGTTACAACTGGCGAACTGGCAGGGGCATTTTTTCCTCAACGACATTTCTCGCATTCTCTTGACATTCACCCTGACTTCAGAACGTTTCTATCTCCCGACTCCGCTTACGACTCTGTCGTTCACAATCTAGTATAAACCAGATTATCCGAGTCGGAAGCAGAAGCGCTTTGTGGTTGGTTTAGTTCTTGCGGTTCAGCTTATGACTCTAACAGCCTAGTTTTCACTAAATCGTAAGCGACATAGTCGTAAACGGAATCAGAATGCTTCTTCCACTAGATCATTAAGGTCCACGCATCTGAATACGACTCCGAATCTGACTCCGTAACCAGTAAAAAACCAGCCTTAAGCTACAGTGAATCAAGGCAAAACAGCTTTAACTGTTAACTCTTTATTTTTCAGCCTAATGAGCGATGTTCCCTTCAGATTCACAACCGTTTTAGCGCCAGCAGAGGTGTGGTTTTCCCTCAGGGTCCGCTTAGTTTACCCAACGCTGTTGGTGTTATTATTGCTCATGGGAATCCAGGTGTTGCTTTGACCAGAAGAGCGGATGTTTGGATGACTCGCGATGGTGGCTACAACTGGTATAAGGTGTGTTACATTCATTGGAATGGTTACATCATAGAGTTTTGTCCACCGACTCAAAAGTTAGAACTATATACTATTTAATACTACCATGTGAAAGTACTGCTGAAGAGGTTTCATGTGATTGGTCGCACCGTAGGATTTCGTCCACAGAATCAAGAGATAGAAGTACATACTAAATGAATAGTAGCATGTGAAAGTACTGTTGAAGAGGCTTCACTTGAATGGTCACACCATAGGATTTCATCCACAGACTCACGAGTCAGAACTGCGTACTACATAAATAGTACTACCATGTGAAAGTACTGCTGAAGAGG